TGTCAAAGTGCATTCTACTGTTATGTAGGACTAATTAAAACAAATTAAAAATTAAAATAAAATAATAAAGGAATCTGTGAACCAGAAAACAGGAAAAGGACAAATTTATATTTTGTAACAAAGCATTTAACCACCTGTGTGTTCTTTCCTATGAAAACACAGAAGTGAAGTCTGGGAAATGGAAAAGGAAAGTGGGGGTGAGAATTGCATAACCTCACCAGGACTAGGAGTGCAGGCAGCTGTCCCCAGCCCTGTCCTCTGCACGTATCCATCTTATCCAGTCCTGCAGTCCCTAGTCCTGGCCTTCAGGACAGTACTGCGTGCTCAGGTTCAGATGCAGAGATGGCTCGTGTATTTCTGGATGGTTGCCGGATGCCTGCTTCTTGGCTGCAGTCCCTCTCAGGACCTGCCTAACACAGGTGATGGGCGTGGGCAACCCAGGTCAGCCGAGCTTACACTGAGGCTCCCTGTCTTGTGCCCCTGGGTCCTGAGACTCACCCCGACCCTTGGAGCCTTAACCCGACTTGCATGGGCCCTGCCCTGAGCCCTGCAGGCTCTAAGCAGCCCTGCACATCGTCAGGAAGGCTCTGCCTTCTGTCTGATCCTGTGACTCTCATTCTGATTTGAATTCATCTGACTACTGATGCACAGATAACTCATTTAAGTTACATTCTAGAATATTCCGAAGATGCCACAGGTGTTATAATCACTTGAGACATTTACACATGTCACTGAGCAAGAAAAGGACAAACCAGATGTTCTCAGTGTAGGTGTCCCTGACGACCCATTAGGGGCAGCTCCCTTGTCAATTAGATGTCTCAAAGTCACCAGCCACTTCCCACATTTCCATCACCTCCTCAAATTTTCCTGAGAAAATCAGATTCCATCTGAAGGAGCTGATTCAATTTGTGATTTGGGCACAAATTTCCCAAACTCCGTCTATTCAAGCTCTCCTTGGTGACAAACCACCTGGTGCCAAGTTGCAAGTTCTGGGGGCCCCGTGCACCTGCCCCTCACAGGTGCTAACAAGACGGCCTCTCTCTGCGGTGAGATCTCAAGACTGTTACAGGTGCGCCCTTTGGAGAGTCTGGCACCCTCCCCATCAAAGCCACCTGAGGACCTGGTCAGAGGGAGGCGATCCATGGTGAGGACTCTCGGGGGCCTTGTGATGCTGGGAAGGCAGGTGGCAAGCAAAGCCTCACAGGGCTCCAGCGGGATGAGCAGGTCCGAGGGTCAGGGAGGTGGGAGGTGCAGTCAGAGAGATGCCGCCAGCTTAGAGGTTCCTTCCTGAGTCTAGCACCGAGCCCAGCTCCCGTGGAGCAGAAGGTGTGATGGGTGCACAGCCAGGAGGGCAGGTGGCCAGGAGGGGCACCAGGCCAGTGGCTCAGTGTTGCCACTTTAGAAACCTTCCTAAAACTCCCTCTGCACTCGGGGACTGTCCAGCTTGGCCTGTGTGTGCTCGTGGCAAGGGAACAATCTGGAAGGCTTTCCTGAGGCTTCAGAAGAGCAGCCTGCTGGCAGGACACTTGGTTCTCTTTCCCCACGCAGTGATCAGAAGTGACCTCTTATCCCATCATTCCAACAAAACACCTTGCAGGACTCCTGTGTCCAGAACTCACCCTTGCACAAATCCGAATTAGTCAACACTACTAAGATGGCGCCTCAGACTTGAAACTAAGTTGAAACCCCCTTAGTGCATAGTTTCCCACGTCATGGTGGAAGACCATTCAAAGGCAGCAGCGTCACCTTCCCACTCCTCCTGAGAGTCTCCCCAGCCTCTTCACCACCCACAGCGGCTCCAAGAGCGTGTAGGCCCTGTCCGCAGGAGCAACGTGAGGCTTTCCCAACCTGGTCCCTGCCTCTACCTGTTCTGTTCACATTTGATAAAACATAATAACCATATTCTCCCTTTTTGGAAAATATCGAGTAAATAACCCAAGGAAGGGATATTTTCCTGTCTGGCTGAGCCCAGGGACAAATATCCTCGGACCCTTCAGTGCTAAAGAGCAGATTGAGAAAGAGCACAGCCCTCCAGGTCCCTAGTGGCCCCAGGAGGGACTTCTGTGGGCCATTTATTGGAAGAGTGCCCCATGCAGGAGATGGGAATATGGGCCAAGAGATCCTGTGCTTCTGACTTGGTCAAGATGACTGTGACTTCCACACTGTGATGACTGCCACACAGGGCTCTGGCCGTTTCTCTGGTCACCATGTTTGCAGTTTGTCTACTGCCCCCGTGGGAAAGGGCCATGGGTCTCTCTGCCTCCAGGCCTCCAGGATTCTCTCCTCTCCGGTACCTTTGCCTCGCTGACATTCTGTGCCTTGCACTAACCAGGGCCAGCTGCCAGGTTACCAAGTGCCTGCAGGTCCAGTGGGCAGCTCAGCCCTCCCATCTGACCGCAGCTCACCTCCCTTCCTGCCTCTCTGTCCTCAGTCCCCTGGGACAGAATTGCCCCCTTCCAGACTCCAGCGCCCTTGCACCCACACCTGCAGTGCACCCCCCTCTGAGCCCCAGGCCCAGGGTCCACCAGTGTGCTCCCCACCTCCGTCACTGCCCCTCCAACAATGCCCATGTGGTTTCTATGGCACCCAAAGAGACTGAACCCAGTGGCTGCTCTGCCCTCACCTGCCCCAGCCAGCGTAGCCCCACCAATCCACCTGCAGGGCCACCAATCCCTCTCAGTCCCTGTGGCCCCCACCTTAGGCTGGACCTGGTATGTCACTGCCTCCATTGCTATAAGCCCAGCCTGTCCCCCTCAGGGTGGATCACACTCCACACACACACCCAAGAAATCTAGTCTAGCTCCCCTCTTCCTTCAGATCAGCCTGTCTGGAACCAACCCATTTCTCTGATTAAAATTTCTCAGTGTCTCGTTATCGTCCCTTACAATATAACTCAACCTGTTTTCCCATTTTTTTCTCTGCCATTTCTATCTACAAACCTTATACTTCGGCCACTCAAGCAAGAGCACGCACACACACACACACACACACACACACGAACACACAAAGATAAAGGAATTCCACCTGTCAAGAATGTTTTGTTTGCAAATGGCAGAAATCTAATGAAAGCTATCCTAAGCAAGTGATTCAATTCATTTGCTCTTAAAAATGAGATGCCAGGGAGCAAGTGGTGTCAGATATGGCTACCTCCAGGGCCTCAAACCTTGTAAATAGTACCCCACTTCTCTCTCCGTCTCGGTGCCCCTCCAGTCAGCCCATCTGGATTCCAACCAGCCTGGCATGGGTCACAAAGGCAATCTTTGCTCTCAAGAAGGGACACATTGGAAATCTGTTCTTGGGTCAGCTCAGCTCCTGGCCAAAAACAGGGGGTTAAGATCCAAGAGGCCAAGGCTGTCCCTGACAGAAGTGAGTGGGAACTCCCACCACCCTGGTTGCTGTGGTGTTAAGAGGAGTCCACCCAGGATCATGTGCCAAAGTGCCAGCAGTAAATGGTGCCATCTGGGGGCCAGTTCAGCAGACACCCGTCTGTGTGTTCCAAGTCAGGGTGTGGGCTTCTCGGGCATCACCAGGCAGAGCGTCCCAAGCTGAGGCCCTTCTCTCTCTCACCTCCCCGACCCATGGCACGTACTCTGCCATCCCTCCAGACTTCTCTATCTCCTTGCTATGGTCTGCATGTTCATGTCCCCCAGAATCCATCTGCTGAAATCATCTCTCTCCAAGATGATGGTATGAGGAGGTGAGACCTGTGGGAGGTGATCAGGTCATGCCGTGCAGCCCTGACGAATAGGATCAGTGGCCTGATGAGAGTCCCCAGAGAACTCCCCCACCCCTTCTGCCATGGGGCCTAGGAAAACAGTGCCTTCCGTGAATTAGGAGTGGAGTCTCGCCAAACCTGCCCATGCCTTGCCCTTGGGCTTTCACCTCCAGGACTGTGGAAATGGATTTCTGTGGTTGATAAGCCACCAGTCTAGGTGTGTTGTGGTGGCATTCTGAAAGGACCGAGGCCTTCCTGCTTGGTCTCTTCCTTCCTGTCGGCTTCCACTTCAAGTCCCCTGGGGACCACGGGAGGATCAGAGCCCCCGTACTACTCAAGCACCACTGGCCAAGGCCATGTCCTGGACACTAGGCCTGAACATCCTAGGGATCCAGCTGGATCCTTTGGGAATTGGACTCCATCCATGTCCTAGGCCACATCCATGGCCACAGACACCCACAGGCACCATCCTGGGGGAGCAAAACTTGCGAATGGACGCTTGGAGGTGTCCTGGGCTGTACCAGGCACACAGCCTTTTCCTATGAACCTCATCTAGGCTAAAAATGGTCTGCATTCCACTCATGCCCAAAGCCAGAATTTTGGAGCAATCAGACCAATTCTGTGCATTTTTGTTTTGTTTTTGCCCTTCTGGGGATTGAACCCTGGGATGCTCTGAGGCCCTTCTCACTGAGCTAAACCTCCATCCCTTTTTACTTTGTATTTTGAAAGAGGGCCTCCCTAAGTTGTCCAGGCTGGCCCCAAATCTAGGTCCTTCTGCCTCAGCAATCCCAGTAGCGGGATGGCAGGCATTTACCATCAGGACCCGCTTACTGTTCATTGTTACTAAGAAGAAATAGAAAGTAGAAATCAAAGTCATGTCCTAGGATCCAGGGTCATCAGCACGATTAGCCACAGGTTTTCTGACTGCACCAGTGACTAGGAACCAGCCTGGTCCTAGTGAAATGGATTTTGGATCACAGCTGTACGAAAAATAAGAGAACATGTCTCCAGTCCCTGCCATGGGGCTCCCTTGGAATTACCTGTGCAGAAATACCAGTCTGTATCCGTTTGTGGTTTACATTTTTAAGTTTCTTCCTCTATCTATTAATAACATGGGATTTAATACTTCTTTTTAGAAGTTTTATTTACAGCTGGCCTTCTGCTGTGATGTTGATGCCAGCAAATCTTCCAGGTTCCTCATATCCATCGCCAAACCCCTCCACCCCCAGATAATCCCAACCAAAAAGCTGCATCAGAAATTAATAACCATGATCATAAATCAAAGTGAAGGTTTTATGCTTTCATTTTGCATCTGACATCATGGCTAAATGATCAACCCAGTGCACACAGGACTTATCAAGAAGGGAGGCACAAGCCCTCCTTAATCAAAGGCATATTTCATCCCTGAAAAATTCATCAGGCTGTGCGTGGAGGGGCGCACGTCTCCGGAGCCCTCTCCAGCACATCTGGAGGCTCGCATTTCCCCTCCATCACGCTCAGGAACACAAGAGGTTTTGATTTGCATGCGTAAAGCAGCTTCTTCATCTCTTCTCTTGGTGCCATCTGAATGAACTCCTGTGATCTACACTCACAATTACTACGACGATGTGGATTAAAAGTGCCTGCATTATGCAGATGGTTGCTGTGATCAGGAAGCCGCCGGAAGCCAGCAGAGTGCTGGGAAGGCTCCACCGCCTCTCGCAAGACTGATCTCGCCCACCGTCTTGCCTGCTGCCCGAGTCAGTGCTGTCCTGAGGCCTGACCCAGGTTCCTGGGATATGCTCAGCAGCCATGCTGACAGGCTGGCCAGTTCTTCACCCCTCTACTCCAAGCCGGTCCCTGAGGTGCCACCCTCCATTCCTGGAGCCCCTCAAACTGAATCCCCCGCTTTACTCTGCCAAAGTTCTCTGTTTCTCCTCCGTGAGTGACACACCCACCAGCTCTTGCCAAGTCCTCTTAGGCTGACAGTTAGTGCGTCCAGTTCTTGTAGACTGTCCAGGATCAGGGGCCAGGGTCTCTGATCAGGACTTTGATCATTTATAGTCAGGCCCATCCCACTCATTTGGTGTCCAAGTCTTCGCACACGATGAACAGTGCGGTCCGAGCAGAGCAGTGTGTGCTGGGAGGCAAGTACGTGAAATGCTACGATGATCCCCCAGTCCTCCAGAGCAGGAAGCTGGACTCCGCAAGGGTTGTTGTCAGTGGCCACTGCCCTGCCTGCTAGCAGAAGGCACTTTGGGGACTATTGAGCTCCTAAAGAAACTGAAGAGAACTTCCTACTTGCATTCCGTCCATAGCACCAGTCACATGAGCTTGGAAATTTCTTTACTTTCTTGACCCTCAGTTTCTTCTTCAAAGCAATGGAAAGAACACATTTTCCAGTGTGCCAGTTCCACGGGGATGCTGTAATAAAGCACGAACTGGGTGTCTTAGAACAACAGAAACTGATAGCATCAATTTTGGAGGCTGGAAGTTCAAAGTCAAGGGACCAGCAAGGCCTAGCTTCCTGTGATCCCTGTGGGGGAAGAATCTTTCTTTTCCTCTCTCAGCTGCTGGAAGCCCTGAGACATCCTTAGCTTATGGCAGCGCAGGTCTGTCTCTTCACATTGTCCTCACATTGGACAAAGACCCTTCTTCCACCTAAGACCCCTGATCCAGGGAGACAGTTCCACCCCTCACCTGGTGAGCAGGTCATGGTGAGGGCATCAGCCCTGGGATCTGCTAGCTCATGACAACCATGATTTTTCCTCCCCTCCTGCCGAGGACAGGGACAGGTGTCACCTTCTTTGACAGTATCCAGCCTATGGTGGTTATGGGGTTTAGTTAGGACTCGAGCTGCGAAGTAAGTGGGACACTGCCAAGCCAGAGGCAGCAAGGCAGTCCCCAGCTAGACCAGCAACGCGCCTTCCGGAGGAGCCCGCTGCCTGCACAGCTGTCCTGGGGTGGCGTTTCTCCCCGAGTCTTGTGCGCTTCTGAATTTGGCACAAACCTGCTTTCTCCCCAAATCATGGCCTATTATCTTCTCTGAAAAGACCACGATTGTTCATTATTCCTGAATGAGGCTTGAGAGACAGAAATGAATGAAGTCTAATGACTCAAAACTGCTGTGCAGACAGACGTCACACATGGTGGTCAATGTGTGGAGCAGCATCAGCCAGGCGAGGGCCGTCATGAGGACACGGTGGGACCCCGTCAGGGCAGTAAGGTTTTCAGTGTGGCTGCTGCAGTCCAGCTCAGCCCACTGGGCGGATCGCCCCCTTCTGAAGAATGGTTAATAAACAATGCGATGGTCAGGCCTCTCCAGGCCTCTCCCCCGCCTAAGGACCTGCTCAGGCTGCAGGACCAGCAGCCACCTCCCCACGGTTCCTGTCAGTCCTGCTGATGAGGGCCTGATCTCTGTGAACCGGGTCTTGTGGTCAATCAAATCCTAATTCCAAATGACAGAAATTGCACATCCCTCTTCCTAACTGAAACAGCTTTTAGACACACGGGGTGCCCACATCCCGCCAGGGAGGCTTCTGGTAAGTTTTTCTTATGTGGGACCACGTGCATGGTGTAACTGTCGAGAGCTGGAAGTCATCTCAGCGGTGCCACTGGCCCTGCTGGTTAATTACTGCCAGGGATTATAGTGTGATATCAACTTGTCTCAAAATGAATCCCATTCCAACAGATGTTCTCCAAAAATGTCATTGAGGGGTACAGTTTGCAATGAGTTCTCCTTGCTGGTTTTACTGAGAAATCACATGGATTCAAAACTGATGTTCTAAGGGACTATTATTGAATTTATTTTTTTCTTTGCCCGTGACCATAAAAATTCCCCAACTAAAATAATTATTCCAGTGTTTTCAAGGGACCCTCCACTTGGGACCCTCCACCGGCTCTCAGAATGTTCCTAAATTTGCCAGCGGATCCCCTCAGCACACTTCAAGCAGGGACCTCTGGTGTGAGTTCTCAGGACCCTAAACAGACGTGCAACACTACTGTCCAAGAGCCCTCCGAGGGTGCCGTCCGACCTCCACCAATAACAAAAAACGTTCCAGTACACTTTCCGGGGGCCGTCTTCTGTCTACAGAGCAACCCTCCCCCAGACTCCTGAGGAGAAACATCTGAAGGGCTGAGCCCCTCCAGCCCTCTACAGGTTCTAAGTTTCCCTGTGGACTGTATTCTGTATTGCCTTCTCCCTCCTGCACCACCGAGTGGTGTTTTGTCATTAGACATCTATTTGTGTACTGTGATGCCTGCCACAGAAAGGGCCTTGAGGCCGTGGGTACAGCACCCGGGGTGAGATAGGGTAGTGAGCGCCATGTCAGGAGAAGGTCTGCTTCCCCGAGGGACTCGTTTGTATTTTCTTCATGAACACTGAAATCTAATAGCAATTCATGTTCTTCTTCTTGCTTTGATTTCCAGGAAATCCATACACAAAAGAAAATATTGTTGAAATGGGGTCTCACTATGTGGCTCGGGCCAACGGCAAACATGGAGCCCCAAGCCCTCCTCCAGCCTTGGTCTCCCAAGTAGCTGGGAGGGAGGCACAGGCCACCACATCCAGCTCAGAGCCCAATTTACATCTCGGCTTTAGGATGGGTGAGACCACCCATCCTGTATCATTTTTTGTCTTCCTAATCCCACTCTTCTCCCGCCATCTTGAACTTTGCCAACTGTGGAGCCCCGGTCCTCATGTATTGTTTTGTAATTTTTTTCCTGATTCATATATGTATTTTATGAAAACCAAACTAAAATCATTTTTGGAAATGGGTGGGACAATAAAAACAATCAACAAAATCAATGAACAATGAGTTCAAAGAATTGAAATATTTTTAACCAAGGTGTTACCTACATTGATAGAACACACATCTCCAAACATAAGCCTGGGATACGCAGTCTTGCAGCAGATTGAAACCGAAATAAGCTACTTCCTTCTTTCCTTTGTTCCTCTCCACTGTCCTCAGAGGGAACCTTCCTGAAGATGGGACAAGTTCCAGGTGTGAGGACCCTTGGACTTCACAGTGGCCCATCTCTGGATGAGCACTCCTGAATCCACTAGAGTCCATTGATTGGTGACTGAGTCTTACACCAACATATGTTGGGACGATGTGCAGATTATTGTAATACTTATAAGTGTCAAACATTTGAAAATTCTAACCAATCAAGGGCTGGATTTCATCTGTATCACCCAACAGTCAGAGGTTAGTGAATGGATTTTGTTGTTGTTATTTGTTATTCTGTTTTCTTTTCTGGATTCTGAGCAAACAGGTGGTCTCTCCTGCACACGGGGGTGGTGGAAACCTTAGACATGTTCTGGGCCCACCCGCCCAGCTCCGGTCCTCCCCATCACATGGTAGCCAGGGCTGCCTCTGCCCGGGTTGGGCACCTTCATCCAGAACACCCCTGTGCCTGGTGCACAGGGGTCCTGAGGATCAGCCTCTATGACTGAAACCCTCAAGTGCCCTGAAACCAAAGAGCAAAGAGGTTAGCCAGCACTTTTCCAAATTCAGGCACAATCCTGCTCCCTTGCTGCTTCGAGTACTTACCCTCAGCATGACCACGACCACTGGAGGTCTGTGGTGCTGAAGGAAGCATTTCAAGACCATTTAATAAAACAAAGCCATGGACCAGCCCTGACAGAGGGTGACGACTTGACCTTCTGGTCCATCCATGGAAAATGATGATAACATCAAAATTGTTGTGGAAATCCAGAAGTTTAAAGAATATGCAGCCAACTGGAAGGTGGAAAGTACCATAGAGGGTGTTAGGAAATTAATAAAAGTGTCACGTTGCTTTTTTTTTGGGGGGGAGCTTATTATATATGTGTTAGTCGTCATCTTCTAAAACTTTGTGATTTATTGCAATTTCCTCTCAAGTCTAAATTAACACTTACTTGCTGTTATTCTGTTTTCTTTTCTTTTTAAGAGGACCCCGAATGTTGAACATTAAAACACAAAATCCATATTCTCCCTGCCCATCAGAATTACTCTGCGTGCACAAGCCCAGGGTCCTCGCCACCTTCCACCAGTATCTATGACTGGTCCCCATTTAAGATTATGTGTCTGCTGTGAGTACCTGGTGCCCTTGCTGGGGTGGGTGCTGCTCTGAGGCTCCCCTGGAGCAAAAGCCCTGAGCCTGCGTATCCCTGCCAACTCCCCTTCTCCCTGTCTGGATGGCCACTTACACCCCAGCCAGGGAGTGGGCCTTTCTAAATCCAGATAAACTTCTCCAGGATCAAGAAGGTGCTCACAGGGTGAGTGGACCTTCTGGAGTGGGACTCCAGTTGCTGGTCCCACCCTTAGACAGGGCCCTTTGGACTCAGTCACAAAGTTAACCAGACCCTCCTTGGATATTGGGACACAAAGTGCTTAGACATTAGGGGGACCGAGAGGACTCTCCTAAGTACTTCCCCCCCATGTCAGTCAGAGTCCCGTCATCAATGGGAAAATAATAGCCCCTGCCTTACTGGCTTATGGGGCATGGGGAACAGGACCCAGATGATGCTGGGACACAGGGTTGGGAGCCCAGAGGGCTCACTTACCCTGGCAGAAGATGTGCTTGCCATTATTATCACTCTCATTGGCAAGAAATGTCAATATAATTAGTAACAAGACCTAGCGTGCTCAGTGCCATCCAGGCAAAGCTAGAGATGCAGTGCCACAAGTGGTACACGGCAGAGCCCTGCAGAAGGCTGGGCTGCTGGCTCACTTGGGAGCACCCAGCCCCATGTTAGCTCAGCCATTAATCCCTTACAAAGCTCTCTCCACTTCCACGCCAAAGGACACCAGGAGAAACTGTTCCAAAGTGTTACTTCCATCCAAATATGTTATGTCTGCAGGAGGCCTCACTCTGCAAGGCCAATTTCCCTGTCAAAACAAGGAAATGAAACTAATCTTGCCTGATGGGCCCTCACTGAACTCCCGCGGCTTCAAATGATCACCTTCCCTCTCCAGGGCTTTATAAACCATCGACTCAGAAGTCATTTCTAGATTCTTGCCACGGATCCAGCTCTGCGGTTGGAAGAGACACTTCGCCTTCTCTTTTTTGGGGACGTGTCGCGCCAGAGTTCTTCTACGAACCGCAAACTTTACCCAAATAACCGCCGCCTGGGCGTAGTTGCTAAAGTGGGGCCAGCACACCTCCTGATGACCTCCACGCCCGCTGCCTGTCCCTGTTCCAGGTGCTCAGTGGGTGTGTGGTGCCCACCCACGTGCCAGCAGACAGGTGGAAGGGGTTTGTCAAAATAGTGATTAAAAAAATATTCCTGAACGTGGCTTTCTAAAAGCCATGGGGTTTATATTCGAATCTAGTTGCTTCTGATGCCCAAGAAGATGGACCTGACCACCATCGAGTTCTTGGCTTCTCCATCCCTGATGGCAGGGCACAAAGCATTGACCCCACTTCCCTGTTCTGACTGT